GCCGAAGAGAATTTCGTTCAGTCCAACGAGCGGATGCTCTTCCACGGCAGTCCCTTTATTAACGCAATCGTGCAGCGCGGATTCGATGAGCGCCACGCCTACATAGGCGGCATGTTCGGTGCTGGCATTTATTTCGCCGAGCACAGCTCGAAGAGCAACCAGTATGTATATGGAATTTGCGGCGGCATTGGATGTCCCTCGCACAAGGATAAGTCCTGCTACGTGTGTCCCAGGTGAGTGAACATTGCAGTAAAATTGACGGGAGATTAGAGTAAAATTTATTAACATAATTTTACCATTTGCTTTCCTCGCTAACAGACAATTGCTGCTGTGCCGAGTGGCTTTGGGCAAATCCTTCTTGCAGTATAGCGCCATGAAAATGGCTCACGCACCACCAGGCCACCACTCGGTGGTGGGAAGACCCTCGGCGGGAGGACTGCATTTCGCCGAATACGTTGTCTATCGGGGCGAACAGGTGGGTACTTGGTTAAGCTGTTATCCTCCACATTTTATTATTTATTAAACTGTTTTTGCAGTCTTATCCGGAGTACTTGATAACGTACCAAATCGTCAAGCCCGATGACAGCAGTAGCGGGACGGAGGATACGAGATGATGGATGCCCTCTGTCGGCTCTACGCCCACCACCACATCGCCAGCGCTGCACCAGCCACACCCACAGTATCACCCACATCAGCAGCAGCCGCAGCAGCAGGCGCAACCACAACCACAACAACAACAGAAGACACCGCTGCCGTTGCCACCACCACAACAGCAGACCTCAGCTCCAGTTGCCAAGAGGCGTAAGCATGCCAAACCGTCGCTGCAGTTGCAGTACCAGCACTATCAGCCCCAGCACCACTCGGTGGTTGCATCGGCGGCTGTAACCACTACCCAACCAGCGCCCGCTGGCGTCTTTACGCACAGCAACAACAATAACAATACGAGCAGCGGAAATGTGAATAATAACAACAATGACATGTCGCCGGTGTCGAACAGCAATAGCTACTCTTCGGTGGACACCAATCAGACGCTGCTTAATTCACTGGCCAACCAGCAGCGGAACCATCGACAGCAGCAGCAGCAAAATCAGCAGCAACAGGCGAATCGCAGCCAGAAGTATAGTCAATTTATGATCATCACACCCGCCGTTTCTATAGATCGCGACTTTGAGTACGAATCGCATTTGGACTTTGAGGATTTCGCCAATGCGGCCCACAATAATGGGAATCTTTTCCGGCTGGGATTGCGGCGGAGCGACAGCAGCAGCGACGACAGTGGCCACAGCAGCGATAGCAGCAGTTTCCGCTCGAATTACAATCCGTACTTGCACCACAGTCGCCAGCATTTGCTGACCAAGGGTGGTGGAAATGGCAGTGGCAGTGCAGGTCGTCACTTTTACGCCTTCACCTCGTCGTGGCGGTGGTGCAGTCTACTGTGCGCCGCCATGCGCTGCTTTGGAGCCGGTGGGGCCGGGCACGGGAATGCTCCGTACAGCAGCTCTCTGCAACATCACCGACTAAGACGTTGCTCGTCGTACAATGCGGAGAATGCGTACGAGCATTTTGCGGCCCCCTTCAAGGCGCGAAAGACGCGCGATCACATGAACAACATCACCTACGAGTTGTGACTGTGACGGTGGTATGACGACATGCTGGTGGTTATTGATCTCTTTGTCTCCGTTGGCCTCCCGTCTATTTTATTACAATTACTAGCTATAGATGTCGTGTCCTGTGTGTCTCTCTCTCTCTCTCGTTGTTTATTATATTACTCTATAATATATCACGTAGGGGCGAACTAAGCGAGATTGGTTCGGATCAGCAGACGGATCGGATCAGATTGGGTTGGTTTAATCAAAAGTGACAGCACACTTTTTGAGTGATTTTATTCGATGTACGGAATTTGCGATTATAAGAGGTTAAAAGTTCTTTGACGATGAATGCATTACATTACATTACATTACGCTCGCGCGTTTATTTAAGTGTTTAAGCTTAGTTAATTTAAACAATAATTAAAACTCCAATTAAATTTAAATATACAAATACATATACATGAAACTAAAGATGTGATTTCATTAATAAGTCGGCTTTTGGGTCTAATATACGGCATGGTAAGTAATGTTCTTACATTACTTTAGAAAAACAAATAAAAACAGTAGTTCTGATAACATTATTTGTCTATAAAAAGTTAGACAAGCTTAACTGCTCAATGTTAAATGTGTTTTTAAATTCTTTAAGTACTAATCATTTTCTAAGTGTTACACCTAAGTTCAAAATAATAAACTGAACCTTCCTCAATGGTGCCGACTGATAATGATGCTACATGCCTGTACCATTTTACGAGGCTATCAGCGCAAAGATTAAAACTACACTCCGTGTTCTATTTTTAGACCATCCATATGGAAAAGACTTCAGCTCATGTTATTGAAGTATACGTATATAATAACTTTTAAACTAGCAATCTGCTTGGGAATGCATTTTTTATTTTTCTGAACGCATTAAATGTATTTTAGTTTTGAAGGTGACCCCCTCCATACAAAATCCCAGATACGCCACTGCCTGTATTTATTTTTGTTTTTGAATACTCTTTGTAATTTTATTTTTGTATTTTTCATCGCATTATTAGCCTATTTAAAACTATAAAACTTTATATATTTTTCATGCAGACAACAGCATCATTAGCATCAACATAAAACATTCACAAGTTTTTCGGTTTCCAAATTTATACGCACACTGATTATTGTGAAGATAAACGAGTTTAATTTTACGAAGTTTCTGAAGTAGTTATCCGAGTTGTAAGGCACTAATGTATTTCCTAGGACATTCCGCACTGCTGGCCCATCTATTTCGAGCATTTAAATTTAATTTACTTTAAATAACGCTCTTTTTCAACGTTTAGATGAGAGCTCGCCAGTTCTCTAACGATTATTGCGTACATAGCAGTTAGCTTTTAACCGTCTGCTGATGAGCTTGCAATTTGCAACTGTCAAGCCGCCCTAAAAATTCAAAATGCAACCGCATCGGAAGAATAATGATGATGAATGCTAAAGTACGCAAATATCTCTCTTTTTCTTTTTGCAGACAACACACGCAGGCACATTTCACTGTCAAAAAGGCGGCTATAAACCATTTTGAAGCCGCCAGGAGCTGCTGTTGTGGGCACTTTTTTTATTTCTTTGCCACTTATGTTGGCCTGCATTTGGCCATTTCTCAAGTCTTTCTTCCCGCTCGAGTGCGTCTCTTTTTCGGGCCTACGTTTTTTGACGTTTTCTTTTTTGGCAACATATGCAAGTAATTTGATTAAATTATATAATTACAGGGCCAGACAGACGAGATGGCAAGATGAGAAGACGGTGCTGACTTTGACAGCAGCGCTGCACGCAAAATGCCGCACCACATTATGGCCATGGTTATGGTTTCTGGTGGTGCGGTTACCATTAAGTTAACGTTAATGTTAATGCCAGGAAGCACGTAAAAAAAAGGAAGCATTTTGGTTTTGATAGAAGACTAAAAACTTCAAATAAAGAAATCTTAATACATTTAAAGGGGAATTCCCGTTTATCCTAAACAAATTTCGATTCTTTGTTCCTTATTTTTAATCCTATAATATTAAGAGCGTGATATTACAGCTACAAAAAAATGTTACAATTTATTTTACTCTTGCTTTTGCTTAAAGTTTAAATCTTGTTAATATATTTTAATAGTATTTTCCTCCGTGTAGATCGTTGACTGCGACACTCACTGCAGGCCGGGACTAGTGCAATTTGTATTTCCAAACAGCAACAAATAAGCACTGGGCACGGCCTACATCAGGTGACGTTTTAATGTACCACTGCACTCTCATCTCGAATGCACTTCACTTCACTCTACTCACCTCTGCGGTCTGTGGGCCTTGGCAATATCAATAAGCCAAGTCAGCCAGCTGGGAAAAGAAGCCAGGAATGTCCAAGTCCCACATAAACACTGTAATTACTCGCACACACTCACTCCCAAATCCGAGGAGCTGTAATTTAATTAAGAAATATAGACGCATTATTAAAAAAAAAAGAAAACATGGAGAAACGCACATAGAAATGGCCTGGAGGCCCCACCCAGTTTGGTCAAATGAAGATGTGCCTACTCAGACTTCATTTGGAAATGGACTTGCAGGTTCCAGTTTTCCCGGCATAATCCCGCGTACGTTAGTGCGTTGCACGTCCCACAACATTAATCAGCATCCTACTCGGGAACACCTATGATTCTGGGTGGCAAAAAGTTAAGCATAAATGGCCTAGATGGAGAAAAATGTATTAAGATGGCAATTAATCCATTGAATTCTTCACAGCCCCCAGCCAAACTGGTTTGAAGATGTAACTTTTGTCATCCTAAAAGAATTTTTCCTTTAGGATAACAATATTTAAAGTTCATCTCGAGATGTCGTTGAGAGCTTTCAGAAGCTTTTTGTGTGATTCTGGCATACAGAAAGTAATAAAATTTAAGGACCTTTTTATCGTTTACTTTTCCAGGCCCCCAAATCGCATTTTAAATATATATGGACATTGTCTCTCCGATTTACCAATAAACTGAGCTCACAATCCAAATAAAGTCAGGCAAATATTTCGATTGGGTCCATTAAGTTCTCTAATGGAGATCGGTTGTGAAAAAGGACATGATTCCCAAATATTTGTCTGCTTTCTAGAAATGGGTAAAAAGCTTTCATTTTTTAAGGTCCATACCCGGAGTTAGTTTTATAAAGAGTCCAAAAAATGTATTTTGGACAATTAACTGTAGAGTTGCACCTCAACCCATAGACCTGTTTAGATCCGTATTACAGGTGACGCATTAATGAAACCATCAAATGTATTGTTTAAAATATGTATGGTCCTTTATATAGGATTTATAGGATTCTATACCATTACAGATGTGCATCTTACAGATAGAGTACTATGCTTTTGCCGAATCTGAAAATTGATCAATTTGGATTAGTTGACCCGTCCGTTCCCCTGCCTTTAAAACAAAGCAAATAAGTGTATTTTTCCATTATGTTAATAAATGAAATGCTTCGATCTTCCACCCGCCGTTACCGCGAGGCTAGAAGACTTAAAAAGAGTATAATTAAAACATATATGGAGTAATCGAATCTGTCATTAATGCGGCTATATGCTATAATCATAGATGTAGACACGCGTGCCAATATCCCTACCCGTAATTAAAAAGTGCAACTTAAAATCTACTCGTCCTCCTCTTGCGACTCGCTGCTCTGGTCGACCGGATCGACCTGATCGGGCATCCGTTTGCTGCCGCTACCTTCGCTACGAATGGAGGTCTGGACCAGTTCCCGGGTGAACTTCTGCACCAGACGCAAGGCAGTGGGCGCCGGCATGTCGCACAGAGAGTGGCACATGAACTCGCCGAATCCCCGGAACTTGGCATAGGCCGGCGGCAAGGGAGTTGGAGTCGGAGTGGGATAGAAAGCGGATATCGACAGACTGTCGTCGGCACGACGCTTCGATGGATGATCATCCGACAGCTGTGCTCCACGTTTGAACTTGTTGGGATGGTTGATTATTGGACTACTGATGATGTATTCCGGCTGGTTTTGATGTCGCCGCTGATAGCTTTCCGCATAGTGATTGTAGCCTTTGCCATTGGCCATTTCGCCGTTCATCGAGCGCTGGCTCTTGTTGGCTTCGTCGGAGGTGTTCAGGGGAATCCTAAAAAGAAATCGGGCTTTGTCATTAAGGAGCGGGGTATATCGATGGGTAAGAAACTCACCCCAGCACAGTGGTCACGGGCAGTGCCTGCTCGCAATCGAAAATCTCGCAGTCCTCATCCAGTTCGTCCTTGACGCTAGTCATCTGCCCGTTGCTGTCGCTCTGGCAATCGTCAACCTCGTAGGGCTCCTCATCTTCCTCCTTCATCGACATGTTTTTGAAGCTGCGCCTAGGCCTAATGTGATCCCCTAGAAACTGGAGGCTCTCGAACAGGGGCCATTGTGAAGCCTGTGTGGACAGGCCATTTTCCACACGTCGCTTCTCGATGTTATAGCGATTTCTCAGCGTAGTCATGCGCTCCCTTAAACTTGTGGCTAATTAGAAAGGTGGGAATAATCCTGAATTAATCCCTGCCCACTGGAACTCGATTAAGACCCCATCCTCACCATCGTAGCCCAGCTTGTGGGCCATTTGATCCCATATTTGGGCCACATACAGCTTGTCCTTGAACCGTTTGTTGGTGCGATCGTATAGCACTGGATGCGATCGGTATTCCCGGATCAGTCCCAAATCGAATTCACCCGTTTGGGCGTATGTGGCCCGGGGCCGGCCACGCCCCTTCGGCAGCTGCGGGGGATACAAGTGCGACAGGTGTTCCATTCCTCCTCCAGATACACCTCCAACCCTGTTTTTTTTTAAATCAAAAATTAAGGCTTTTTTTTCCATTTTAATAGAGTATTTTTGATTTGTTAAACTTGCTATAGGATTGTTAAGTTCTCTTTTTAAAATGTTAAAAAATACTTGGTACGATACTATCGATTAAAACCTGGCTTACTTTAATAAATAAATTATGGTTTGCAAAATAATGTAACTACAAAATTCTAGAAGAGAAAGTGTGGAGTATAATAATTTTACTTCATTAATAGATCTTGAATTCCTGTTAAGAATTAATGGTTTTGTTTTTCCACTGAATAGTTTCAAGTTTATACATATGTTACCAATTCATGGCCTGCAATCTTAATTCATTTTCAATTGAAGTTTAATGAACATCAACCCTTGGGTTCAAAAATATGTTTACATGAAGCTGACATTGACTGCTTAAACAATTTATTTTGATATTGACCGTTCTTTCTCTATATCAAACGAAAGATAATTTATATTTCTTTAATGTCTTAAAAAGCATAAAAAAGAAACAAAAGAAAGAAAAGACAAGAAAAAGAAATAATTCCGAGGATATGATATACACACATCTGTACATAGTTACCGGTTTTTCAACATAAGGGAGCAAAGGCAATAAAAACAAAAAACAACGTTTGGTAGAAAAGAAGTTTTTCGTTGTGCTATGTGGATAATATAGAAGCCTGATTTTGAAAACCAAAATCTCCACCGATAACCGCTTTCATAAATCGACGGTTAGCCATCCCCATCCCTAAATTGCATCTGCTTCAGGATACACATACATAGTTACCGGTTTTTCAACAAACAATTAAAAAAAAAAGAGCAACAAAGTCTTCAAAGTAGAAGGAAGAAGCATAATAGCTATACAACAATGTGTTTGGACTTCGGTCGGGCGTTTGTTAAGGTGCTTATGCTCACAAAAATAAAAGCAAAGCCAGGTGGATAATGGTAAATCAATTAAACGATAACCGCTTCGATAAATCGATGGTGCTTGCCATCCCTAATCTGCATCCGCTTTCACGACTTGTACATGCTTTTTACACAGTCGCAGGCCGTTTACATGTATATATACGCGTGCGTAGGTGTGCGTGCTCGTGCTAACTGCATCTTCTCTGCTTCTGCTGCCTCTCCTCTTTCTCTCTTTTTTGGTGCTAAGCGAACGACGCGCACTGTCGGCGTCGGCGGCAGCAGCGCAATAAAAACAAAGTCAGCGAATACCGTAAAAATATCAAACTACCTAAAAACAAAAAAGAAAAGTACAGAAACGCGCTCTCAACTGCTTGATATTAATTTTAAGCGACGCCAGCTGCGCTGCTCACACAGATAAACATAAAAAGTCGCTTTATAAACTTTAAATAAACAATTGCAGACTACTACTAATTTATGGTGTGCGAGCGGAATAAATAATAAAGGTAAAAAAAAGAAAGCCAAGTTATAGAGAAATATTATTTTTGGCAGCCAATTCACAAATTATAAAAATTTCTTAATTTATTTTTATAGATTTACTCACCTCGAAATATTTAGATTCGCCTCAGGTTTATTTTGTGTATATAATTTATTTTTATACCTTTTAAGCGCGCGCTCTTTGTCCGCCTCGCTTTGCTTTTGCTTTCTAGCTGGCTATTATGGCTAACTGTAGCTGTTACTTTAAAAAATCAATATAGACGTAAATAAATTAATTAAGATTGCCTGCGCAACACGACGCTCTCTTTTGCTGCTCGCGCTGCTCTGTCTCTGTCTGTTTCGCCTGCACGCACAACTAGTCGCTGCGAGAATTTTTTTTAAACTGAAACTGAAAAAATTTTTTATTTTTATATTTTACGAGCCAAGCGGTAAGAGAGACGCGAGAGAGAGACACCCACCCTCTCTCGCTCACACAGGCGCCGAACCCCATGTAGTAGAGATGCGAGCGTGAGACGTTGCTTTCGCGCGTTACTGGCATCACAGAAAACTAATTTATATAAATATTGTATTACTCGTAAATCTTCTACATTCAGGGTTTACTTTATACTTTTAAAAAGTGCGCCAAAACGCGAAACATTTTGACAAAATGTCGATAAGCATCAGTACTTTCATGCAAGTTGTACTATAAATTTTCTGGACGAATCACTCTTGCACATATATTTTTCACATATTTTGAATGAAATTTTCCTTATGGGAGCCACTGTGTAAAATAATGTACTTTGGACAGATTAAGAGAAGACGTGCAACTGGAATTTGGCCATTATTTCATTTGATTGTTAAACATTTTATTGCACCAATGTGACACTTTTTATTCATAGCACATATAACTCACATGCACATCGCTAATAGGCGACCAACCAGGTGGCAGCTCTGACAATTCGAATTAAAGTGGCAGCCTCGTGGCGGACATTTTCATAAAAATATGAAAAGTACCAAAATAGCGCGCGCGGTTGGGAAATTTTTAAATGCACAATATGTTATGTACAATGAATGGATGACAACTATGAAGTGTGGGAAAAATATGTGCTTGGATGTGTGGTAAGTGTTTGAATAGTTAAAAAACAAGTTTTGTACATGGATTATGGAAAAACCATTTATGATAATTTAAGTAAAACCAATTTAAACATACCTGAATATATACTTTTATATATTTAAAATAACTTATAAGTCTTATTATTGCATAATTGAGATCTGAAAAGACAGAAAAAAATTTATTAGTAAAATGTCAACAAATTGTTTAATAAATAATAAAATTGGCAAATGTAATCTACGTTGTTTATTACAAACCGCCCATAGGCCGGGACAAGTGCAATGTTTATTCAAAATGCAAAACGTTGACACCTTCCCGTCCTACGGGAAATTCATATTCACCAGAAAACTCATCAACTCAAGATCAGGAATATAGAGTTTCAGCAAGTACAGGGAACATCTTGATAAAAATAATAAAATATTATACCAACAGGTACCGGCAGGTAGTCAAACAATGGGAGCAGTGATCAAAGCCTTAAAATCTCATATTTCAATAACAGAGAACAAAAAATAAGCAGCATTTCATATTAAATTTCCGCCCCTACTTGAGTGTCCTTTGTGCGGGCTTAAAATGCCCAACAATAGTCCTGCCGGAGTAGAAGTTTCGGATCTCATAGGATCGAGGGCAGGTAAAACTAAACCCTGGGCAAAATCAAGCGTTAAATGCCTTTTACTTACGCCTCACATCATTTCGCAAGAGGAAGCTTGTATGGTATATGAAAGTATGCTGCGGGGTCCATTAACAGTTGGCTAACATCAACAAAATTTGAAATCCAAAGCGTGACAAATTCGTAGAAACCAGAACCACTCGGAGGCGGAGATACAGAAAAAGAACAAAGCTGCTGAGCGAAAGAACTGCCAGGGCAGCAGAAAAAAATTACAAAAAAACACCCGCGCAACCCCCTTTTCGGACTTTTCCAGAGATTCTACATTTCTCGGACTATTTCAGAGCCTCAGCGTATTTCGCTTATCTGCCCCAAATGAAAACCAGCAAATAATACTAATAATATCGTTTGGGGGGACAGAGGAGCGAAGCTTTGCTCGTATTTGTTTATTTGATCGCTGCTGGGGGCTTTTCGTGGCCCAAGACGGCATTAGGTTTTAATGTTCTACCCTGCGACACAAATAAAATGAAACCAGCGATGAACGAACGCTGCAATAAATTCATATTTATTTACTTTTGTTAGGCAAATACGCCCCCAACGGCACGAAGACTCTCTTCTGACTTCGGGGCAACTGAAAGGAAAGGCCCAGTCCGAGTCTTGCAGATCGGAAAGCGGAAACGCAAATAGACGCACGATAAAAACAGAAACGGGGCTGTGGGATGAGGAGAAGAGTAGAGAAACAACAGCACGGCACATAAATTTGAAATAACTAATAATTCATTGAAAAAGCTGCCATGGAATGGGGCCTTGATCAGGGGCAACTGGAGTGGTTCGGCGGTGGGGATCGGAATGGAGTGGTGCACAATATCATGTAATAATATTTGCTCAAGCCAACAGCTGACAAGTCAGCAATAACACACTTCTCCCGATATCGCGATCGACAAATCCCCACAGGAATTAAACTGGCGCGAGATCGGAAAGAGGCGGTCACTTGGATTTGGGATATCGAAATATATGGGGGGTTGAAAATTATATAGAACAGCCAGTTTGCAAGTTGCCTTGTTCTTCGAAAAGGTTGATTAATTGTTTAAATTGAATGGCAAATTTATAAATCCAATTAATTTGTTTTAAATTTCAAACCACTCTTTCTTCAAGTAATTTATAACTTATAATTTTTCACTAATTTATTTTAAAATCCCATTTATCTTTCTTAAAGTTTTCTCTTTTGCTCATTAGCTCTAAAAAACGAGCTCATTAAGGGCATTTGCAGTTCGGTTAGTTGGCCTTTCTACTGCACATTTATGATGGCTATTTCTCCTCCTCTGCGGAAGAATAGCCAGCTTTTTCGTTGCCCGTTGCTCTGTTCTAGTTTGAGTAGAATCATTTTTAATGATTCGAGAGGCAGCAAAGGCAGCAGGAGCTGCGATGCCAAAGAAAGCATCGAAGGCTTCGATAGCCAGGGATAAGTGAACGGCAATGGTCATGGATGGCCATGACTTCCAGCCAAAAACAGTTTGCATTTCCCATTGTTGATGTACTTGTTGCTTCTCTGAGAGAAGGAGATACAGTGAAACTTGTATTTATCAACATAAGCTACAAAAAATGCAGTTTTCCTAGAGACTAATGAAGGAATTTGCAATAATTTATATATTAAAAAAATACACCAATAGATAAATTCAATATTAAGCAGCCTCCTTCGCATTAAAATCAAACCAATGAATTTGTATTATACTGCTAACGGTCTACTGCTAAATAAAAACTGAAGACGTAAACAGGAAATCTGAAGAACAGGCTAATAAATTATCTAACTCGAAGAGCTAGTAAATGTTTTATTGCACAAATCTCATTAAGAGTTGAGTAACATTCCGTTAAAGTCAGATTAAAAGTGGGTTTAATTGTTGACTTTGATATTTTTAAGTTCTAAATAAAAGCTTCCTGCATTCCGAATTTAACTTCAAAAATAATGTTTCCAGAATTTATTTATAGAGGGTTACAGCAAGAGGAGTTCTCTTTATAGAATTCCCACTGTAGGACGAGCGAGGGCCGCGAATAAAAATAACTGTATTAAATGGGCTCAGGTCCAGTTCTTGGTGGCAGAGAAAAGGTCCGCCGCCTGAGAACCGAACCTCCGCTCTTGGCTGTTACAATTTCTAGGCTCAGGCGGCACAGGCTCTCGGGTCGCCAGACTTGGCCAGCGTTTTGGCCCTGGTCGGAGGAACCTGTTTGGGGTTCGGGACCCAGCCAGCACACAGTGCATAAAAGGCGTTCCAGAGATGCGGACTGGGCCGTGCCTGGCTGTCTCATCTGTTGTCTATTTGGCAGGCTCCAACTTCCACCGATTGCTGCGGGCCTGTTCGCAAGTGCAACATGTTGCCAGCAACATTTGTTGCCTTTGCCTCGCCAAACACTCGCAGATTTGATTTGCTCCGGCTTCCATTTCCTCTAGTTTTGCCAAGTTATTTCTTTTTTGGTCGGTTTGTTTTTTCAGCAGCGTAATCGAAATGCAATTAAGATGCGGCTCTAGAGTGCTGCAGAATTTTTGACTCGCACTCAGTGAGGAGCGAGAACGTGGCTGCAATTTATATTCCCGGACAGATTTTTAGAAAGTAGCAGAGGAGTTTTCCTCTGGTCCAGACCAAGACCAAGACCAACCCAGAGTGCCATTCGAAAGGCGTTGACGTCGAGAGGTGAGTCCCGAGCCCGGCTTAGAACGATCTGGGGGATTGTAGACTCTGTAGATTCAGCTTGTACTCGTATGTGGCATAATTAAAGGGTTACGCCACGGCCACACCAATCTCCATTCGATATGTGGCGATCTCTTTGCGTCCCCGGCTTTCTTCTGTTCTGTTCTGTGAATTGTGTGGCTGATATGCATAACGGTGGTTTAATATGAGTTGGCGAACCAAGAGCGACTGCACCACAAGTGGGCATGTCTCCAGTGATCCGCCAACCCCCTTTTGAGGTGATCTCTACACTGGAAAAAAATCTCTTTTCAATCGGGAATCACTATGCCTTTAACCTAAGTATAAAGCGGTTCAAAGGACGGATATACGAATTCGTTCAAGGCAAAACAAACCTTCTCAATTGCATAAGAATCTCTTCTAGAATCAAAAAACTGTTCCGAAATCAAAAACAACCTTTTTAAATTGTATTGTAATGTACCTAAATACCCAAAAGCCAAATAGTTTAATATAAGTGTCAACCAGAGTTAAAAACGGCCAACCTAATGGATTTCTACTGAAACTAGCTATAAATCCTAAACTCAAAACTTTTCCCTCAATGTAAGAGGCTTCTTTTTAAATCCCAGCTCACTCATTTGGTTGATATCGTTATGGCATAATATGGGCCACTCTCCCTGGACGTGGTGCAGTCATCAGTCCAAATGGTCGGCCATCAGCGCATCGTTTATTGGGGTTCGCTCTGCGAGTTCTCCAATTGATTGCCCACATCTGTTCTGGCTCAGCTCCAAAAGAATCTGCTCCAGACGCACGAGGATGATCAGAAATTATTGTTCATTTCAAGCGGGTTTTGAGTGTTGGAAAAACTTGGTCTTTCTTTAATGGCACAAACTTTAAAACCAGACTGTGTCTTAGCTAAATAACCACACTCAAATGGATTAAAGGCGTCTTTGCAAAATTAAAATTATATCATTTAATTTTACACAGGTGCGGATTTGTTAACAAATTTGTGCAGCAATATATAATATTATCATCTTGATTATAACTCAGTGGAATATCTGGTTTTCTTGAAAATAAGTGTAGAAACAACAACAGCAAATGTTGCCGCCATTTGTTCTAAGAATTCGGAAATATTCTTTAATTTTTTTTATTTTATTCATTCTTATCATGGCATTCCTTGGAAATGATGAAATTCTGATTTGAAGTTTTCCATTGGGAATAGGGAAAAGAAATAAGCAGAGATAAACTATTTAATAATTGCTTAAGGAATTGTTTGAAACTCCTAACAACTTTTTTGATAATCTTTTACTTTCACGACTAAATTCAATATGAAAATTAATAATTCAGCGTTACTTTTTTTATGTTCTGGACGGAATGTAAGTTTCCACCATAAAATCAGGAAGAATTTTACTTCATACGCTATCGCTGCATCTTCGTAAAAAGTTTCTCATTATTTCTCAAATGTGTAAGCAAATGTTATTATCCACTAATTGCCAAATAGTTTGGCGTATCTCGTTAGCAATGGCAGGCAGATTGGAGGCTTTAGACTGAAGACTGGAATTGAAAGAGGCTCCAAACAGCTCAATTATTCCGCGGCTTCAGTGGCTCACAATCTACGCGCTGAAGAAATTGGGCTTGTTGCCAAGGAGTAGTCTAATAGCTAATGATCGGCAAAAAAATATGCGCCATCTTAATCTCCCCGTCGTACCCTGATCATCAGCTTCTTTATCCCCAAAGAAGACCGAATCAAGCAAAGTTCTCACACAAATTAAAATTGCTGTTCTCTTTTTGTTTTTCGGGGAGTATCTACGCAAATGTGTAGGGTATGAGTATGGGGATGCTCCAAATGGAATCTCTTTGAGAAGAATTTAAGCCTCGAATTTCGCAGCCAAGACACCGAAGCTAAGCAAATTTTAAGCTTGTGCTTCATAGTTATATGGGGCACTGTCTATATATGCAAACTGGTATGCGTGTATGGCCCGTGTTAGGTATTCGATAGCGCCAATTTGATATGGCGGCCAAGGAGCACAAATTAAGTTTCCCAGAAACGAAGAATACTACCTGAACTGAGTAGAATCCCCATCCCCCATTCTTCTGGCACTGCTATTTTCCGTGGTCGCGAGTTTTATGTCTGCTCAGATCGTAAAGCAGTTAGCAACGCTATAAGGAAGAGAATCTCTCAAAAAGAAAGCTGGCAACAACGCTATGTAAAATGCCTTCAATGGAGAAAGAAGCCAAAACGAATAAGATGTTGCGGCAGGAACTTAATTTTGCTCAGCAGTGCTTTTTAATGCGCCGCGATAGTTAAAGGAAATTAATGAGTAGTAAAAGCGAAACAGGCGAGAGAAGTCGCCAAAGTGAGCCGCTCAAAGGCCCCAAATGCAGAGAAATCAATATCCAATCATTAATCGTTAACTAATTCCATGAATTCTGCCAGACTCCGGATCCCGGGATACAGCTTTTTGGTCAGGTTCGTCTGTCTGCCTTTGCCCCATTTACCAAGTTCCAAAAACGCAACCAGACATGCCACACTAAAGACATATATTTATGCCCCGAAAGCAACTTTTGGCGTATTTAGAACAGCAACAACAACAAACAGCGGCGAAAAAAACAGAAATATCAAGATAAAAATATTTTTCGGCCGGCCCTTTGTGGCTTTTGGCATGGGACAGTGGCTACACTACAAAAAAATTTGGTACTCGATTTGAAAAAAAGAGATTGGTCAAAAATAACTACCCACAAATTGTACGATAACTTATATTATCTATCTTTGATATTTTTTGTTGATCGAGCTTAGGGATTCTAAACTTACATGTAACCCTTACTAGGCGTTTTAAAAAATATAATTTAAAGTTTAATAAGTAAAAATCAAATGATATCATTTCTCAATACTGTCACCGTATGATATTAAAAATGTATTGAAAAGATAATATTTTAAATAAAATTGAGGACAGTCATCTTAAATATTAGTTTAATTTATTTGCCGTGTATTTGTCCGCCTAAACCAAGTATTTACTGATTGCTGTTTTGTTGTTGTTATCGTCGTGGCGCGTCTGAAGTCTGCAGTCGTCTCCTTGGGCCCTCTTCAGGGATCTTTTTCTGGGATCTGGGATTTCCTCCCTCCACACACGCGTTTTGAATTCGATTTGCCGATTGCCGTTTGCTTCTTGGCGAGATTTCGATTTCGTCGGCAACAAAAGCAACAACCCATCGACCATGAAACAATTTTATATTTTTGTGCAAAAAAAAAATCGAAGATCAATAAAAATTTTACCGACAACTGTATTTGGTTCAGACCGGAGCCCTAAAATTAGTGACCAAATTGGTAGGGGGGCCATCGGGGTATCGGGTCACATTTTTGGTTACAGTAATCAGTTCAGAATCCAAGAAGAAGTTGGATACAAAGCAGCTGGACAAAATTTGAACTCCATCCTATGTGTATTTGGGTTTCAAAGAAGTCGAAAGTGCTACAAACAAAAATGTGTTGGATTTAATGTGTGAGCAGGGGCCGTTGAGTATTAAAGAGCCTACAGCTCTTTGGGACAGATTGATATGGGTTACGATAAATGCTTACATCTTTACTCAACACTTTAATTGGAAATAAATAGAGAAGTGGTGTAGAAAAATGTATGAAAATGGATTTAAATAAACTTATCTTTAAATGCTTTAAAATTTTGGATGTTAAACTTGTGTAATACATGATTTTTAGAGAGAAGTTAAAAGCTTTCAAGCTGTTCTTAACATTTCTGAAGAGTTTGGTTTTCCTTGTTTTTCTATTTAATTAGTTAGCTAAAAGAGCTTAGAAACAGTCAACTGTAAACAGAAAAACCTACAAAAAGAAAGTCACCCGAAGGCTTGAAGCATAATTCTGCAGAAAAGCGAAGAACGAGGTGGTTTTAAAGAGAATAGGGAGTGAGAAGAGAGGGCTCCGTGTGAGTTCCTGCAGAATCTGCTGCAAGAAAGGTGCCCCAACAACAACAACAACAACGACGATTCCCAGAAACGAGAGAGTGTGGGAGGAGAAGGTGGAGAATTCTCCAAAAGACGCAAAATGAGAGGAGAACAGGGGCCGTTACTAATGAATTTGTATGCAGAGACGGCAAAGATTTGGCACAAAAACAAAAGCAACATTAACGGAAATGCGAAAACCGAGGATCAAAAAACGCGGGTCCAACCAACAACAACATTATGCGAAATTAGTGCAGACAGCCGAAAAACGCACCTTTTATGTTTTGTGTAGCCTCTGCCTCTCCACATTTTACGATTGCCTGTTTTTGGTTCGTTTTGTGTGATTTTTGATTTATGCAAAAGCAATAAAAATTATTATAATGAAGGCGCTGACATGGCTGATGGCCAGGGCAAAAAACCTACACAGAACAAAAAATTAAATATTTTTACATATTATTATGAAATAAGAACCAACACTTGTGTATATTCGATAGATAAAAATGTCGCTGTCCCCAACATGATAAATTCATTTTAAAACATCAAAATGATGGCTAAGCTGAACAAGTATAACAATATTTTTAGGGCATTGGGTGCTTTTGTTGTTAGTCTTTTAGTTATTCTGCACTCAAAGATATTACTAAATAAAAATCAGAGCTATTATTCATTTAACATTATTCACTCACTAAAAGTAAAGATAATATACTCAAAAAGAAAATCGGATATATTATAGAAAAACTTTTCATGATTTTGAATAGGGCTTTGGAGCAGTTAAAGATCTAATCGAGCATCGAGCTACTTTTTTCTGTGTAAGCGAAGTACAGAGCTGGCGACACGTGATGGTTGGGAAAATGAGGAGGAGCAGGAAAAAAGGAGGAGAACTGGGGGCGATGACGATGCTGTTGTTCCTTGTCCGTTACTTTAACTCCGGTCGCTTTTTCTCTCGCGATGGGGCACAAGAAATAAGCGCGGCAAAGAGAATAAGTCAGAGTGTTTGTTTGACTTCTGCACAAAGAAATGCTTCTTATTTCTTTGTGGTCTGCCCCCAAAAAGCAAAAGCACATGTAAATAAATCAAAAGGCGTCGGGAAAATCGCCATTTTTCCCGCCTATACTAATAATTTGGCGCAAAAAGCCACTCTTCTACCATTTTGATGGTCAACATAAATTCTGCACCTTTTGCTGTAATTATCTCTGCTGTGGCTGCACCCAAAAACGGTTAAACATAAAAAAACTAACGGCAGTTTTATAACGCTAGTCTGGAGGAGATTACCTTTTGGGAGGCTGCGCCAAAAATGAGCGGAAAATGCCCGCAAAAAGAAGAGTGGGCGAAGGAGTAGAGATCCCCGAAGATGATACACAAGCAATCAAAAGAAATGCAATGGCCTCCTCAGCCTCCTTCTCCTTTCTTCACCCATTACTTCCTGCACTTGCCGATGCACCGTTACGCGGAGTTGAGCCCGGGTTCAAGATCACCGCACCCAGCTAAATGTTTTTTTTCCATTTTTTTTGGCGCATTCTCCGCCTGTCTCTTTGCACTTTTACACAGATTCTTTTGGGGATTTATCGTTGGATTTTGATGTTTCTTTTCTCTTTTTAGAGGGCACTTGGGGACTAACGGTTCTGTTTCTGCAGTTAACAAATAAAAATAGCGCGCGCACTCAACTCACCGACAGACAAACACGAGCACACAGAAATGTTTAAAACACCATCGTCGTGCCGGGGGCTCAAGGCTTTAACTTCTCGATCTGCAGTAACTTGGTCACTATTTACTTTATTCTTTAGAGTCTGAAGTTAAGAGTTGGGAGGGTTTTTCTGAGCACAACCGTCGCCGCCGATGGATTGCGCGCAATTGAATTTCATCCTCAGCGGCGACTCAGCTCGTTGCTTCAAAACTTCAGAATCCAGACTCGGCTCTCTGCTCTCACTCCTGAAGTTCGCTGCCGACGCCAGCTGAAGCAGCGGCTGCAAGAAGGAACGTATCTTTAAAGGGTCTCGACTATCAGTTACCCCCAGCAAACGGAAGCAAATTTATTAAAAACCATCTAATACGGACTATATTTTATTTAAACTATATTTTATTCTAATTATGTATATACATGGTTAAATTTGAAATTCAATATGATATATTTTGGTTTTCAATGAATTACTTCAAAAAGCAAGACGTATTTATAAAAATTATTCAGGCAAAACGTATGCGAATTAGAAATTGCGTAAGCTTACAACACCTGATAAAAAATAAATTATTTATTCAAAAGCAAGAGTATACTTATCAGCATATGTTCAAAATGTATAGTTCTTGAGAGAACGATCTTTTAATGCTATTCACTGATGCTCATTAATATATATTTATTGTATGGGATTCCTTGTGACTTCTTAATAAATACAATATACCCTTATAATCAAAAGTAATGGGCAACACAACGCGACAGCAGCTACAGGGCGACAGCGACAAGCTACAAAGAGCAGCTTGATCTTATTTTTTCTCTCCCTGTGCCGAATCGCTGTATACTCTCTCAGGACTAAAAGGTTTTCCAATCGAGGGATCTAGAATGTCGTTGAATAGGGGGATGTTATGTCATTCAAAAAGGGGCTGTCTATGGTAAATAAGAATGCCTGGACTGATTTCAAGCGATTAAGAACCAAGTCTCAATTCATTTCTTTTAATTTTAAAATTGTTCCTTTATTATATTTAAAATTTACTTAGAAATATAAACATAAAGTTAAAATAAGATTTGAGAAGAAGAGTTCTGAATTTTTTTACTATTTTTTAATTGCTTATGCGTCTTTTACCCATAACCTACATATGTCATCTTTTTTCCAATAAACTTAAATAGACTCATTTGAATTCCCCAAAATATTAAAAAACTAAACCGTAATTTACGAATTTGAATTCGAAGAAACTGCCTTGAACATCTTCCGAGGCTAACTCAACTTTGAATTCCCAAGATCTAGGCTTTTGTATCCTTCCTAAATTGCCAGGGGACCTACTAAATGCACAAAAAAAGAAAATTAAAATAAAACATAAGGCTCGAAAACTGTTGTCCGGAGAGGAGCCCCTCTGTCAGCTAATGATCGCCCAGAGCAGGCTGGTAAAAGTTGCGAGCCTTGGGCCCGGGGACAACTCCATTAGGGCGGCCCACATTCGGTGGCCAGTTGGTTTTAGTTTTGGTAGGAGAGCAGGTGCATCGGCGGCAAGCCCTCGATCGAGAGTCGCGAGGAAAGTTGCGGCGCGTGGCTAGAGATCGATGAAAAACAAACCAGAAGACCCCCGCTGCCCGCATATCGCATCAGGACAATCGGTGAGGCACGAGGCATGTCCGGACACATATGGAATGGCACAGAGTCCCATAGTCACACCTTGAACAGAGCTGAGCGCTCTGGCTATTTTAATTTTGTAAGCTATCACTAGCAAGTATCTCACGATTCAGTTCCGAAGTTTTGGGTCTTTTATGAGTAAAAATCTCATTTTATGTTCATTATTTATTGCATTGTTTAAAAAGATCAAAAGTATCATTATATGATATTTAATTTTATTGTCTTTATTTTCACTATAGTTTTACCAATGAAAAGGAATTATAATCAGCATAAAAATAGTCTATTCATACATATATAAGAAAAGAACCAACAACAATTAAAAAGTATATTTTTCATTTAATGGGGAGCTAACATAATTATGCATTAAAATATCTGAATAAACTTTTCTTAGAGTTTTCGATTACTTGCCAAATAAATAAGATTTATATTTTAATATATTGAATGCAAACCAAAAGTCAGAAATTTGTCTCTTTTATGATTTTTCTAATAAATTAAAGGTTATTATTTTTAAAAATGTTGTATGCGTTTCATAATAAATGTGGCTAATTTTGTTTAGCTTTTTGGCAGTACTAGCCGAGAGTCGGAGCCGCAATTTAGCATAAATGAAAACAGACTGAGATCGCCGATGGGCAAGGCATCATTAAACACATTAACAGACTGCAGACGATGGCGATGGCAGGTGATGCCAACAGAGACAGGTTGGCAAACTGACTGAGTGACTAACTGACTGACTGACTGAATGACTGACCAACTGAAGGACCGACTAAGCGAACGACTTAACGATCGCAATGGCAACTGTACAAACAGGCTCAGGCTGTTGGGGACTTTTAAACGGGCCCGTGCCTCGGGGTCTCTCCTCGGCCGACTCCATCGCACTCCTTTGTTAATTACAAAGGATGCGCCGCAGGACAACATCTGCCGAATGCCAATTGATTCCCCCACCCCCGTGCTTCCTAACCCTCTGTATTTATAAAAGCTCTAAGGACTATCTGTCATTTTACAAATCATTAAAGTTTTAAAAAAATGCTACAATATTTTTCATTTAGTAAATACTAACTATACAAAAATAACGTTTAATGTTAGTTATTAAATTCAAGATAATCAATGTTCGTGTACTCATATCTTATCTTAGTTTCAAATGGGTATTTTTATAAATTACCTTTTAGAATGTTATATTTAAAACAAAAACATACAGATAAGATACAGGAATTGATAGGAATATTATCAGGTAGTTATTTTTTATTCTTTGAAAATGATTAAGGTAAAGTTTATTTTGAATGAAAACCCATCAACCATTGTTTAGTGGGTTAAGCTCAGATCGTTCCCGGCCCAGCTGTACCTTCGTGCTCAGATCTTTGTGATCCTTGATCCTTACGCACTCCGCTTCTTTTTCTTTTTATCCTGCTCTTGTGTGTCTGTATTTCTAATTTCTATTGTCATGCCGGCAAAGGAATCGTGGTTTTCAGAGGCAGCGAAGGCCAGCTACTCAGCTATCCAGCGGCGAAACTAGTTTACCACCATTTGCGTCTTTGAGAACCGGTAACGGTACAAAGGTGCTGCCCCTGTCCCTTTCCTTTTTTTCCCTTTTGCAAGCGTTGGAAATTATGTTTTGATTTTTTTCCGTTTTGGCCAAGCGGGCACAAACCTCCTAACGAACCATATTAAATTGTCTAATCTCGCCGAGCGTCTTCACACCCATTTTGACGAGTGCCTGCCAAAAAAAGGGAAAATCGGATGGCGACTAGGGGATATGTGTAGCATTTTCCCTTCCATTACATTATCGTTTACATGCCACCACCACCCAGATTCGGGAATATATATGCTTCCCTCTTCCCAGCGATCCCCTCTTCGGCTTGCCCTCTGGCCCATTAAATAACCGTCGAACAGCTTTATTAATTTGCTGTAATTTGTTTATGTTTTCTAAGCAATTTGTTTTCCACAAGCGGCTGCCGCAGTAGCACCCAAGGGGGAACAAGGGGTTAAGGTTAAGTGTGGGACACAAAAAAAAGGATCTTTGCAACTTATCACTATCCATTTCTGTGAACAGGGGAAATTCGTATTATGCCATTTGAGGAAATGAAAACTAACAAGACCACTTATATCCAGTGAATTTCATAGAACCCAATTACTCGATTTGTTTTTCTATGAGTCTCAGCCAAAATGTATAAAATTTAAAGTATAAAATTTTGGTTGCATTTCAGTGAATAATATTACATTCAATACCTGTTAAAGATTTTATCCTAGCCCTGAAACATCGTGGTATTTCTTTGCCGTAATTCAACGTGTCAAGGAACATGCACATAAATGTAGGACCTCTTGTATATTTTTAATAAAGTTATAAATCTGAAATCAAAACATAAATGTGACATTGATCTACAACTGCTGAAAAGGGCTGTGAACCTTTTCTTGTTTCTCACCGAAACTGAAAAAAAAATAACCGAACAGAAGGAGATTTTTCAATATACATATTTTTTTTGGCAATCGTTTACCTTTTGGTTTCGTCCAGGAAGGCAGATAAACTTTATGACCACAAAAGAGCATCTAAAATAAAGCAAAGCAAATAAAATCGGACAGGAACAGCATGTGAACGATTGCAAATTACAAGCCCAACCTCGATTCCGCTGCAAATCGTCTTCGTATTTTGCAGTCTGCAGATACAGATACATCCAAGTATCTCGCGATCAGGACCAAAGCACTTCGCTGCTGTTGTCTTGGCCATGTTTTTGGGACGGCAGCTGCTTCTTTCGGCTCTGTCGTCATTACCAAAAGGAAGCTAAAGACAAACGGATATGCGCTGCACATCAAGCAACTGCTTTTTGCTGGCCTGTTCCTTTTTTATTTTTTCGGTGGTTATTGCATTGCTTTTTGGGCTTTTTTGCTTCTTGGGCGAAAAATAAATTGTGCGACAGGTGCGACAACGACAGCAGTCGAAGAAGAAGATCGGGCCCAAACAGAGAAGATGCATTGATGTTGCAGGGGCGAGATGGGAGTATAAAACACTGAAAAAAGGCATTACAAAAACATGGGTTTTATAAAATTGCTTAGACTTTAAGTATATGAACAAAAAGAGTTGATCAAGAATTACTATTCAGTTATTAAGAAAGAAATTTATCTTAGAAAGGCGAAATTTATATAAACTTATAAAACAAATTATATTTGGATATAGCTCATTTGATAAAATCATTTTAGTAGCTTTAGAAGATTGATTCTCTATAAAACTAAACGGTTTTGTTAGTGTTTTTCTCTGTCTACAATTTTCTTGGATTTTTGGCAAGTGCAGAAAGACGACTGAAACCCCAGGAAGCTTTTGTGTGGGAGCGAAGCTTTTGATGTGAT